CCGCGAGCGACAACCCGCGCTTGTCCACCTAAACCCTCTAGTGCGACGCAGGCATCCGCTTGTTCCCCGCTTGGTCCAAAAGAAACAACAACAACTGCTACGTCAACTGCGAGACGCCGAAGAGTACTGGTCCTTCAACGGCACCAGGTTGAACAACCTAGCGCGTGTCATGAGCGAGACGCAGGTGACGCAACAAGGGCCGACACAGGCCGCGCGCTATGGGTGGGGCTACACAAGGTAACAACACAGGGCTGAACGGATTCTGCACGTCCTTCGCGCCGCGAGATAAACCATGACGGACAAACTTTTGACGCATGCGCCGTGCGTTGGGCTAGGAAGCGCGAGCCGAAACCGCACTTACGCAGGGCGAGCGACTTCCCCCTTGAGACGCCAGCGGCGACAAGCGGTTGGCGCGAGTGAGCATCGGCGCGCCCAGACTTAAGTCGGGCCTGTCCACCTACAGGGGGATTTTCGATGAAAAATGAAAATACCCCAACAAGAATCAAAACATAGTCCAAAACTAGCCTGAGGACTATTTTTTGAGCATTTGTTGTTGAATATTGTTTGACCTTTTTGGGGTATTTTGGGGGTATTCTATATTTTTCGTAGAAGATCCCCCTGTCGGGGGACAGGCCCGACAAGATGCTTGCAGCAGCCGAGGGTACGGAGAAACGTATTCATGTTGGGTGCGGGCCGCGTGCGGGGAGGATCGGTGGGGCCCGTGAGTCAGCCCGCGACCTGCCCGTGACAGTTCGTGAGCAAACCTCCTTCCCCCGTATATGAAGAGACCCCAGGACACACAAAAAAATACACACAGAAATGAAATGATTCCCCATATTTTCCTATGTTTTCTAGGTTTTTGTCTTCCCCACACTTCCCATATTTTCCAATCTTTTCCTGGGACTCGACGATTAATGGTGTCTGTGTGTTTTCTCCTCCTGAGAATCAGCCCGCGACCTGCCTGCGACAGTTCGTGAGCAAACCTCCTTCCCCCGTGAAGTCTTGGCAGCGGCGGGCTTGGATGCTGCGGATCCGGCTTCCTTCCATCATATGATTTAACACAGATATTATATCGGAAGCATCGCACGGTACGGATCCGCATGGACGAGCAGCAACGCGGACATCATATCCACAGCATCCGAAATTGGATCCGCGCGGACGTCATTTGATCCGCGGCAGCACAATTCCAAACAACATTCGAATCCGCACCAAGTCAATGGGGTCCGCTAGTATTTATTTCGTGCGCGCTGGCGCAAGAGCTGAAGGCCCCACGCTCTGGTCCAAGAGGAACCAAGTATCGTCCTGGGGATCGGCGTTCAAATAGGGGAACGAACAGTGACATAAACATAAAAACTCGGAGGTCCGCGCGGATTTCTCGGATCGGCGCTGGGGCACCCCGGCGGCGCCTCCGGCGCCGCCCCTGGCGCGCTCCGCGCGCCAGGGAGGGGGGTCCAGCGCCGATCCGAGAAATCCGCGCGGACCTCCGAAATGTTATGTTTATGTCACTTTTCGCTCCCCTATTTAAACTCTCGGACTCGCTTGTTGCTACCGGCCCGTCGCACCACGCCTGACCTTCATGACCCTCCATCCGTGTGCTCGTTCGGTGGCGGGCCCAGCGCGGGAACACATATTGCGGGGGCATCCAGGACGCGCGGCGGCGGCGCATATGCGCCGTGCGCTGACCCAGGAGGCGCAGGCTTCAGTCGGGCCTGTCCCCCTACAGGGGGATTTCGACGAAAAATAAAAAATACCCCAAAAATCACAAAAAATAGTCCAAACATTGTCTCGGGATTTTTTTTTGTTGTTTCCCCTTTTTTGGTGCATGTTTGGGGTATTTCTTATTTTTCGTCGAGAATCCCCCTGTAGGGGGACAGGCCCGACATGAACGCAGGCCGAAAACGCACTTACGCAGGACGAGCGATTTCCGCTGGAGGCGCTAGCGGCGACAAGCGGTTGACGAGGGGCCATCGGCGCGCCCAGACGCGCGCCCGGACGCACAGCGCCTGGGCAAGGTGCTTGCGGCAGCCAGGGGGTGAAGAAAGAGATCTGCATGTTGCGTGCGAGCCGCGTGCAGGGAGGGCGGCGGGGGCCCTTGGAACAACGCGGCCTGTCCGTGACAATTCATAGCCGAAGCCTTTTGTTCCCCCGTGGAATCTTCACAGCAGCGGGCTTGGATGCCGCGGGCCCGATTTCCATCCGCAAGCGGATTCAATTCAACATGTATGAATTCAAACCGGCGTGCACTTCCGATCCGTGCGAACAAACAAAGCGGGCATCATATCCACAACATCCGAGATCGGATCCGCGCGGACGAAACTTGATCCATCGCTACGCAATTCCAAACACCTTTCGGGTCCGCACCAACTCAATTTGATAGATTACGACATGCGGTCTGGCGCAGGAGTTGAGGGCTCCATGTTCGGGCTCAAGAAGAAAAACACTTTCGCACTGGGGGCGTATCGGCCCCTATGCCCCCCAACCAGAATTTCGCGCTGGGGTCTAAGAGCGTTTCGTGTCCAGCGGCCTAAAATGCATTTCGGCCCCAGGGTGCCCACCAATATTCAGATCCACCTCCTGCCGAGGTCACCGAAGACCGATCCCCCAGGAGGATGTTATGGATAAGCCCGCCCCCGCCTCGGACTCCACGCATTCCTCTACTGTTTCTTCAATGCCCTAGACGAAGACGATGACGAGGACAGCAGCCGCTAGCTTACCCAAATAAGCCCGCGCTCTCGCGCGGCCCGACGTGGAAGACAAGCCATCTTCCGGCCATGGACCTTAGGACGCGATCATCGCTGCGCCCCTGCGATGACCTGCCCGAAGACGACGGTAAAGATGGGAGCGAGGAGGGCGAGGAGGAGGAGGAGGAGGAGACAGGAGGAAGAAGGAGAAAGAATGAAGAGGCCCACAAAAACACAAATAAATACACACAGATAAAACGATTCCCCATATTTTCTCATATTTTCTGAGTTTTTGTCTTCCCCACCACTTCCCATATTTTCCCATATTTTCCTGGGGATCGACGATTAATTGTGTCTGTGTGTTTCTTCCCCTCCTGAAAGAAGGAGCCGGGAGGGACCGGGAGAAGAGGATGCCAATGTGCTCCCGTTGAGCCAGCATGCGGAAGCCTCGGACGTGGCTTCCTTTCGTCAAGGGGCCACGACCCGGGACGGGCTCGGAAGCGGCCTTGCGGTGACGGCCTCTGGAAGACAAGCTGCCAGCGCTGGATGGGCGAGGCAGGCGCCTCTGCGCTGGACGGGCGAGCGCTCGCACGAGCAGACTTCTCATGAAGGGGCCCTGGGATACACAAATAAAAAGGCACAAATGATAAGATTCCCCATCCTTCCCCATATTTTCGGGTTTTATGTCTTCCCCCCTACCTCCTATTGTTTTTCCACATGTTCTGGGGAAGCGACGATTAGATGTGTCTGTGTGTTTTTTCCCCTCCTGATTCTCCTTTGCAGGCGCACCTGCTCCCCGCCCCGGCCGGCGGCGAAGCAGGAGACTGCAACACAGAGAGGCCCAGCGGTGTGTGTGTGTGGGGGGGGACAAAGGCAGGGAACGAGCCGGGGAGGAAGACGAGGAGAGGGACGAGGAGGGGAGGTGAATGGGGGAGGCGGAAGGAGGAGGATGAGGAGGGACCATGATGAGAACGAGCATGATGATGATGATGATGATGATGATGATGATGATGATGATGATGATGATGATGATGATGATGATGATGATGATGATGATGATGATGATGATGATGAGGGACAAAGGCAGGGAACGAGCAGGGGAGGAAGACGAGGAGAGGGACGAGGAGGGGAGGTGAAGGGGGAGGCGGAAGGAGGAGGATGAGGAGGGACCATGATGAGAACGAGCATGATGATGATGATGATGATGATGATGATGATGATGATGATGATGATGATGATGATGATGAGGGACAAAGGCAGGGAACGAGCAGGGGAGGAAGACGAGGAGAGGGACGAGGAGGGGAGGTGAAGGGGGAGGCGGAAGGAGGAGGAGGAGGAGGGACCATGACGAGGACGAGGACGACGAGGACGCATGCCTCGAAGGCTCAGTGAGGCAAGAGAGCACCCACCAGCCCGGAACGACGGCGACCACGAGGACGAGGACGAGGACGACGACGAACGACGGCTGACGACGAAGACGCCGAGGTCGACGACGACGGCGGTCACGACGATGATCGACCATCGACGACCGACGGCAGAAGAACGACCACAATGCCCATCGACGGCGACGACGAACGCCGACGACGAGAATAGAGACACGACCAACTACATCAACATGATGTCTCGAAGTCTGCGCGGATTTCTTAAATCAACGCCGGACGCCCTCCCTGGCGCGCGGAGCGCGTCAGGGGCGTTGCCGCAGGGCAATCAGGTGGGCCCCAACGCCGACCCAATACATCCGCGCGGACATCTGAAGGATTATGTTTGTCCCGTGTTTTGGTTCCTCGAGAGGACGACGACGGAGACGGCGCACATCGCCGATAGATCGGCGATACGCCCCCGATAGCGAAGCCGCACGGTCATGGGCAGGCTGGGACCATCGGGCCCCTGTCGGCGATCAACGGGCGACCCGGGGCCTCTCCCCTCTGCCGGCGGTCCCTGGCTTTCGGGGCCACTTCTCGGGCCTCCTGCGGCCGTTCGGCACGATGCGGGCAAGCCCAGGCCGCTATCGGCAGAGGCGACGATAAGGGCGAATAGCCCATGGGGGGGGAGCAATACCTGTATCCAAGGGCCCGCCCCCGGGCCATTCGCCCCTATCCTCGCCGCCGATGTCGGCGAGGCGCAGCCGCCGGAACGCACCCCGAGGCCGGAGGACCGGCGAGGAGCCCCCGCCGCTCCTCGTCTCGTCGAGGCCCCACGGGCACGCCCGGAGGCCTCGCAGCTCGGGCCCCGAACTCCTGGCGTGGCCCCTGCGGCGCGCCGACGACGAGGACGACGACGGAGCCGACCGCGGGCCGCTTCGCAAACCCGCCCCCCCTCGGCGCCCACTGCCGCGGCGGAGCCGGCGGCGCCCGCCGGGCCCTCGCAGCCGCGACCGAGGCCTCGGGGGAGCTGCTTTGCTCGCCCGTCGGTCGTCGGTCGCCGTCGGTGGACGCTCGTCGTTCGTTGCCTCGTCCTCGTTCAAAGGAGCCTATAGGGAGGCACAAACGAATGGACACATATTCTCCAGGGCTCCGCATGCATTTCACTTTCACGGCTGCCCATCCATGTCCCATAGTTTTCCCAAACACTGCTTGCACTTAGGGCTTCTGACTTGAGGGTAACATGATTGGGCTGGTGTGCAACCCTAGCGGCTATGTAATCGCCGTCGCCGCCCCGTAGCCGCCATGTCGCCGCCCGTCGTCTGGGCCGGTGTACCGCTCCAGCGGCTATTTAGTCGCCGTCGCAGGCCCTGTCGCCGCCCGTCGTCTGGGCCAGTGTGCCGCTCCAGCGGCTATGTAGTCGCCGTCGCCACCCTGTCGCTGCCAAGTCGCCGCCCGTCGTTTGGGCTGGTGTGCCGCTCTGGCAACTATGTAGTCGCCACCTCGTCACTGCCCATCGTCTGCGCCTTGCATTGATGCGCATTGCTTTGCTTAGCTTTGAATTTTTCCCAAAGCATTACATGCACTGAGGGGCTCCTACTTCTGAAGTAAGGAATTGGGATTGTTTGTCGGTCTGGCGGCTACGTTGCCGCCATCGCCGCCCCGTCGCCGCTTCATCGCCGCACGTCGTCTCGGGGTGGCTGTCGGTCTGGCGGCTATTTAGTTGCCGTCGCCGCGCCGTCGCCGCCTCGACGCCGCCCCGTCGCCACCAAGATCCCACAAAACAGATTCACCACATGGACACACCATTTCAATTTCGTTAAACATAAGATATACCTCCGCCCCCCCCCCCCCAGACTTAACGGCCCACCTTTCGTATTGCAAGTTACAAATGATTCTGCCCCATCGCCCATCCTACATATGAGTTCGTAACATCCCAGGCAGACTGGGTATCGGTTCCCCCCTCATCATATGCCAACAGAAAAACATGCGCGCACACTCGTCGATAAAACATCACCTGTTTGCAAGAAGCGACCGCAAACCATGTAGCGAAATTCACACGCGCGCGTCGCCGCGCGCATGCTAAAATCCTTGGGCGAAAACCTAAAGTTCGTACGAATTTCGAAACCGACAATCGCAAACACCTAGAACATCAAATGGTTCCGCAACAAGGGTTGTCAAAAGAAGCCTGCGCCCGCGCACTTACGAATTCTGAAATAACACATCGGTTGTTCAAAATTACCATAAACTGTTACTAAGCGGGCATATCGCGCGCGCATGTCGGAATCTTTCGAACGCCCTTGCGCGCGTGCTGTCGCAAGAACCCCATGCAACAAACGGGACGGAGTGCACGCGCGCGCGTCGTCGCGCGCGCATGCCGGAATTCTTTTAAAACCTTGGGTTTCGCAAGGGTTTCAGAAACGAGCGTCCCGAAATCAAAGCAAAACGCGCGGTTTTGCAATATCAACTTTCAGAACAAATCCGGGGCTCGCGGTCATGCGGACTCTGCGAAAAACGCATCGGTTCTTCAACATTGTCGTCCAATTCTGCCAAACGGACCGCTCGCACCGCATGTCGAATTCATTCGAAAGCCCTCGCGCGCGTGTTAGGGCAGGGGGGTCGCGATCCGCGTCGATTGATACCACGCGGGCCAAACGCGCGCGTCGGCCATGCGCGCATGTAGCTCCTTCAAAAACGTCCATCGCCGGTGCGAAGGCATCGTCATCGTTTTCGGCGGGCGTGACGAACATCGGCGCGGTCATTGGTCGCGCCGCGGTCATCGCCACCATCGTCACCATCATCCTTACTCTCATAATCGTGTCCACCGTTGTCTGCGTCGCCATGATACCGCGCCCGCCCAAGTCACCGACTCGCACTGCAGTGCCCGCTGGGAAATGCCCAGCGGTCAGCGCCACCGCGGCCGCGTCGGTCGCGCCAAACTACCTGGCCGCTGTGCGCGCGAGCATGCGAGGGCTAGCGCGGCCGCAGAGATGCACCAGCCAACGCCAAGCACTCATCACAATCGCCGCCGCATGGGTTTTACTAACCACATTGCGGGTGGGTGGGTGGGATGTGCGCGAGAGCATGGAACGTGTCAACTGATTTGTAAACATCAGTTCCACCACGTATATTGTCCTCTGTCTTCCACAACAAAAAACATATCCCCATCACCCCCACCGGGTTATCCGCCACGCGTTTCGTGGAAAATTTAAATACGATCGCGACCCGTCGTTCATTTTCCGTATGCGTGTATCATCCCAGGCCACCTGGTATCGACCCCCCACGCCATCCTCTGCAAAACATACTAGGCGGGCGCACTCGTTTGTCAAAACCATAAATGTATAAGAGTCCTTTTCAACAGATGAGTCGAAGTACGCACGCGCGCGTCTTTGCGCGCGCATGCCAAAATCCTTCAAAACCCGTCGGCCCCGGAGAAATGTTTAAATCGAGTGTCCAAACCACTTTTAACCAAACGCATGGTTTCGCAACGCGGATATATATATATATATATATATATATATATATATATATCAAAACGCAGGCGCGCGCGTCCTTGTGAATTCTTCAGAAAACCTTCGTTTTTTTTTTCAGCAGTTTTCCAACAAAACATCATACAAAACGGGCTTCGCGCGCGCATGTCGAAATCGTTCGAACGCCCTCGCGCGCGTGCAGTCGCGAGAACCCTCTGCACAAAAAAGAAACGAAATGCACGCGCGCGCGCCGTCGCGCGCGCATGCCGAAATCCTCGAACAACGCTTGGTTTCGGAAAGATGTGAACATTGAGAATACAAAACACATGCAAACAAACACAGGGTTTCGCAACACGGGTTTTCAACAAAAACGTGCGCGCGCGCTGTTGCGAATTCTTCCGGGAAACACGTACGTGTTTCAAACAGTTTCAACACTTTGCGCCAAACGGGCTTCGCGCGCGCATGTCGAAAGCGTTCGAACGCACTTTCGCGCGCACTGGGGTGGTACGATCCGTGTCGGATATTACCATGCGAGCCACTCTTGCGCGTCTGCCGCGCGAGCATTTCGAATTCCTTCCAAAACCTTCATCATCGACGCGAAGACGCCGTCATCGTGTTCGGCGTGATTGGCATCGACGCCGTCACTGGCCGTGCCGTCGTCGCTGCAGCATCGTCGCCAACATCGCTACTACTTCCACCATCATAATCATCATCACCATCATCATCATCGTGTCTACAATAGTCGACGTTGCCATGATACCGCGCCCGCCCAAGTCGCCGACTCGCACCTGAGTGCCCGCTGGGATGCGCCGAGCGGTCAGCACCACTGCGGCCGCGTCGGTCGCGCCAAACTACCTGGCCGCTGCGCGCGCGAGCATGCGCGGGCTGGCGCGTCCGCACAGATGCACGAGCCAGCGCCAAGCACTCATCGCAATCGCCGCCGCATGAGGTTTGCAAACCAAGTTGCGGGTGGGTGGGTGGGATGTATGCGCGAGCAGTGAAGTGGACAACTCACTGCGAACAGAAAATGATCCTTATATGTATATATATATGTGTATGTATATATATACACATACATTTATATACATACAACTATATATATATATATGGGAAAGGTTCTACCACCCTTCCCCCCCTCCCGGACTCAACGATTCCCCGATCCCGCATTGCAATTTACAGATGGTTCTGTCCCGTCACCCATCCGGAATATGAATTTACAGTATCCCGAGGGGCTGGTATCGCCCCTCCCTGCCAAACTTTGCAACACAAATTATGCGCGCGCACTCATTTATCAAAACGCATAAATGTTTAAGAACCCGTGCGGGAAAATTTAAAAAGTGCGCACGCGCGCGTCGTCGCGCACGCATGCCGAAATCCTTCAAAAACCTTTGGTTTCGGAAGGAATTCAAAATCGAGATTCCCCCAACAACATACGAAAACGCATGCTTTCGCAACACGGTTCCCTAAGAAAGCTTACGCGCGCGCTCTTTCGAAATCTTCACAAAATGCGTTATCCAAGATATTCAGAACATGCTATCAAATGGGCTTCGCGCGCGCACATGTCGAAATCGTTCGATCGCCCTTGCGCGCGTGCAGTCGCGAGAATCCTTTGCAACAAAAACCGAAAGGCACGCGCGCGCGCGCCGTCGCGCGCGCATGCCGAAATCGTTCAACAAACCTTTGGTTCCGGAAGGACTTCAAAATCGAATGTCCCAAAACACATGCAAAAACACTGGGTTTCGTAACGCGGATTTTCAACGAAAGCGTGCCCGCGCGCTCTTGCGTCGTCGTCGTCGTCGCCGTCCTCCCTCCTCCCTCGTCGTCGTCGTCGTCGTCCTCTGTCTTTCCTAGTCGTCGTCGTTCGCTTTGGCGTCGTCGTCGTTTCCGTCGTCGTCGTCGCCGTGGTCGTCGGTCCTCCTCCCTCGTCGTCGTCGTCGTCGTTGTCCGTCGTCGGCGTCTCGTCGTAGTCCCTCCTATTTCGTCGCCGTTTCCTTCTTCCCGCGTCGTTGTCGTCGTCGGCGTCGCCGTCCTCCCTCCTTCTTCGTCGTTCGCGTCGTCGCCGTCCTCCCTCCTCCCTCGTCGTTGTCATCGTTGTCGCCGTCGTCGTCCTCCCTCCTCCCTCGTCGTCGTCGTCGTCGTCTTCGTTGGCGACGTCGTCGTCGTCGTCGTCTTCGTCGTCGTCGTCGCCGGCGTCGTCGTCGTCGTCGCCGGCGTCGTCGTCGTCGTCTTCGTCGTCGTCGGAGTCGTCGTCGTCGTCGTCATCGTCGTCGTTGTCCTCGGCGTCGGCGTCAGTGTGGTCGTCGGTGTCGTCGTCGTCGTCGTCGTCGGCGTCGTTGTCGTCGTCGTCGTCGAAGTCGTCGGAGTCGTCGTCGGTGTCGTCATAGTCGTCGTCGTCGTCGGCGTCGTCATCGTTGTCGCTGTCGTCGTCGGCGTCAGTGTCGCTGCCAAATGCCATTTGGTACCTACCGTCACGGTCTTAAGAGGTCTTGCGACCAAGTTGCGGGTGGGAGGATGGGATGTTTGCACGAGCAGTGGCGAGGACAGCTTCAAGATTTTCAATGTGAATTGCACCACATAGATGGCACCACATATTTTGCAAACCATAGATTGCACCACGTCACTTGCACCACATGTATTGCGCACAACCTAGATTGCACCACATAGATCGCACCAAAAGTATTGCACAACATATATTGCACCACGTATTTTGTAGCACCAATGATTGCACTACGTCGCTTTTACTACATATATTGCTCCAATCAGACTGCGAAACATATATAGCCCAACACATAGTGCACCACATAGAGTGCACCATGTCGATGTCACTACATAGGTTGCAGCATATTGCACATCATCTATTGCACCACTTCGATTACACAACATGTACATATATATATATGTATACTGCTAGACACATATGGTTTGGGGCCCACGCTGGCTAACACTCCAAAGTTGTTTTATTGCGTGTTAGCTCCAAACCAAAAGACGCCCAAAGAGGAACGCCTTTTGTTCCCGCTCCAGTGGCCCATTGGCTAACACTCCAATGTGTAGATGAATAGCAACAAGAGCGCCAACACCAATACGTGCTGTGGCGATGTGAATTAAGGCGGTGAAGGGCCCAGCCCTACGCAACTGCGCTGTAACCAGCAAGATCCCGGGTGTGCCGAACATGGGCTGGGGACCGCTGCATGCAACCCCCCGCAAGGGCACGATCCGCGCGAGAGGAGTGCCGCAAACTGGCCACATGCGCCCCCGCCACCCCCACCCCTGGGGTCTGGGTAGGGCTCCCTCTGGGCAACGACCCACACGAGGGGTCTGCCGCAAGGGGCTCGGGACCGTCAGCGGCTACGCCTCCTGGGGCTCGCAGGTGGAGCTCCCTATGGGGCACGAAACGCGTGCACCTCATTGCAGAGCTGCGCGGGCAGCAGCAGAGGCGGGCGCGGCAGCAACAGCAGCCGCTGGCATCGCAAATGCGTCAGCAGCGACAACCAGCAACAGCGTGCATCAGGCACCGCGACGCCCGCGACAGGAAGGGGAGGAGGGGAGCATGAGGAGGACGAGAAGAAGAAACTTGCGGCGCAGCGGAGGGAAAAGGAGGACCCAACAACATGGGCGGTCTGGGACACACAACAATTAGGACGCGAGGCGCAACAGAGCGCATTACAACAGCACTGACTATGTGAATGTCAAATCCTCTTGGGGACAGGCGAAACTGATACACACCCATCCCCACAACCTACAACCCCATTATGGGTCGAAAGACGGTCTACCAGATAGGCTGATGAATATTGATGCGGAATTCGTCCGAGCGCAGGCGGTCTAACGATGTCTGTCCTCCCTCTTCCAAGAGCCCCTCTTCCCCTTCGGGGAAAGGTTTACCCATCCCCCTACACCCTCTTCTGGACCTGAACGAGGAAGTGGTCGCGAGGTGTCAGGGGGTCATGTTTGGCCCAAGATGGCTCAAAGAGGGCCCCTGAGAGCCCAAAATGGCCTCCAAGATCGCTCAAGATAGGCCGACATGGCTCAATATAGCTAACAGCATGCTTCCAAGAGGCCCTCAGAGGGCCACAAGGCGGATCCGCGTACTCTTGGAGACCCCTCAGGACCTCCCTGGGAAGCCAGCGTCCTTCCACAACCGAAGGTGAATCGATGTGGTTGGCCTTCTCGCCTCTTCGCTTCCGATGCGCTTGTGGGGCCTCAAGATGGCCCAAGAGAGCTCCAAGAGGGCCCACGAGGCCCCCTATGACGGCCCCAAGAGCGCCCAAGATCGCCCCAAGAGGGCCACCAGATGCGATTTCGATGGCTCTTAGGGGGGGGGGAGGGGCTAGGTTAGGGACCCTCTGTTTAATCGATGGCCTCCAAGATGGCCCCAGGAGGCCCTCCGAAGCTCCCAAGAGAGCCCCATGAGGGCCCCAAGAGGGCCCCAAGACGCTCCCAAAGAGCCCCAAGAGGACCCCAAGACCCCCCTTAGAGCCTCAAGATGCCCCTAAAAGAACCCCAACTGGAACCCAAAGACGCCCCCCCCAAGCCCCATAGCTCCAAGAAGGCCTCCGATGCTCCAAGAAAGCATCCAACATGGCTCAACACGTTCCTCCCCCCTCATCTATTTGACCCCTCTGGTTCACGATATGTGTCTCTGCTCTCAAGTTCCTGGCAACTCTCGTGAGCAAGGCTTCTGAATGGGCTGTCGGGAATTCGCGACGCGTAAACAATCATGCACCGAGGAGGAGGAGGAGGAGGAGGAGGAGGAGGAGGAGGAGGAGGGGGAGGAGGAGGAGGAGGAGGAGGAGGAGGAGGAGGGGGGTGGAGGAGGAGAAGGAGGAGGAGGAGGAGGAAGAGGAGGAGGAGGCGCAGAGGCGTGGCGTTGTGTTTCGCAGGAAGACGTCTACGACGAGAGCGCCGATGATAATGGCAGCGTCCGGGGATCGCAGACGATATCTGCACCGACGACGCACCCTCCTAGGGCAACGACATCTATACATATCCACTGCTCCCAGGCCAGGCCCATCCTCAACCCCGCAGCGGTGTATACGCCACGCCCTCCTGGCTTGGCCAGGAGGGCGCATACACAACTCCTGGGTTCAAGATGGGCATGGTCAGGGAGCAGTGGATATGTATAGATTTCGTCGCCCGAGGCCTCAACCAACGGCCACTGCGTCACACTTCTGGACGCATCAGACGAAATCAGACGGGGATGACGGCAGAGGGTCAAGCCAAGCGAGGATGAGGATGAACATTACGAGGAGCAGGAGCGACATGAAGAGGAGGCAGGAGATGACGGTCGAGGACGTCGGCAAGCAGCAGTGGGGGACGCAACGCGGGAGCAGGAGTGGGCTAAGCGTGCTGAGTGTATGAGGCGAACCCCTCACCGCAGAATAGACTCAGGCTCAGACTTCATCAGACCCGGCCTCGAACCACACACCTTCAACCAACACACCCCGAACGAACTTCAAAAACAGCACAAGAGGGGGCCCAAACCGTGCAACTCAGACATCGTCCATGTTTCCGACCAGAGAATCTGCAGACGACGCTGCATGGACTCAGGCACTGAGTGGAGCGCTCACCTGCAGGCCCAATCGAGTTATCCCAAACTTGTTGCTTAAAAAGGCCCAACCCCGTGTGCTTCGGGGCGCTTTTACGCGCTCTTGGGTTTTATTCCGGAGGCAATGGGAGCATGGCTGCAAGCCCCAACCTCCAAACATCCTCCTCCTCTTCCTCTTCCCCCTCCCCCCCTCCTCCTTCCCCACCTCCTCCCTCTCCCCCATCCTGGAGGAGAGTGGGAGGAGTGGACTGGTGAGAGGGAGGAGAAGCAGAAAGGAAGAGGACAAAGGGAACGACCGTCATCGGCGGAGCACGTGTTTGGACCCGTCCCGGGGGGGCCCTGCAGGCACACCTCCTCTGCCCGCCAGCTGGCGCAGCTGGCGTTGCGCCGGCAGCTTGCCTGGCCGCGCCGAGGAGCGCAGCGGGAGCAAGAGCAAAGGCAGGGAAGTAGGAGGATGCACAGAAAAGAGAGGGCAAAGACTCGGGATCGTGGTCGGGCTCGCGGAGTTCGCGTGTCTGCTCAGCCGGGGCTGATTGAAGCCTCTGGACAGTCCTGCGCCTGGAACCCTGGATGGCGTGTCATTGTTCAACGGCACCCTTGCGGGCGGCCTTCTGCTCTGGGGCGAGGGGCCGCACTGCCCCATCAGAGGCGGCGGCCCCCCAGGAGGCACGCAGCCGTGAGGCGCCTATTGGGGATCGGTGGCTCACACCTGTCCTCAGGCTCCCCCGACGAGCGACGACGACGCGAGGAAGGAAGGCACCCCCCCCGAGCACCCCGCCCCCGCCTCAACAGCACGGAGCCCGAAAGCCAGGGCCGCACTGCTAAAGCAGGGGGGGGTCGGGGGAGCTGCATACCCGGGGGGCCTAAGAAACGTCTGCAAGAGACGGAGTAACCGCTGCAATCTCTCTCTCTCTCTCTCTGTTTCTTTTTTTCATAAAAAAATCTTCCCTTTGAAGCCCTTCGGCCCTGCCCGTTCCCCCCCCCTCCCAGTCCTCGCCCTCGGGGCGTTGGCCCTTACAAGAAAAGGGGGGGGGCGGGCAGGAGGGGGGAGCCGTAGGCAGTCGGGAAGGGGGGTGGGCACGGCCTCATGTTGAAGCACGGCAGGCGGTAGTCGACCCTGTGCGATCAGCTCGCGGAGTCGAGCGCTATCTCGGAACGCGCGTGGATGTCCCACTCCTGCCGGCCGCTGATCTCTACAAGGTCTATCATCTCTCACTTCTTCATGAGCAACTTCGCTGCATCTCGCACACTCGGGCCGCGGGGTGGAGTGCCGACCAGACGTTCGACTTTCATGTCCATGACCGCCGCGCGCATCATCGGGATCACCTTGCAGTCCATCTCGTGGTTGGGGTCGATCGCCACGATCAAGCGGCCCTGCTTCTCGAGGGCATTCTCGCCCTTATTGCGCTCCCACTGCCAGCGGAGGACGATCTCGCCAACTGCGAGGAGTGAAGGCTGCTTCGCGTGGGCGATGTAGAAGTCCTTCAGCTCCATGCCCCACTGAGTCTCTTGCTGGACCAGCCACATCAATCCGATGATGAGTGCGCGTAGGTGCGGGGAGGCTCGGCCTTTGAATTCCAAGGCTTCTATCTTTTCCGTTTCTCTGCCAGCTTTTGGGACCTCTCCTGGTGCTCGCGTCTGGGAATCCACTCGGGCGCCCAACTTGCTCGCGCCGTCGCAGTCAGTTCTGCGTTTGCCTTGCTGTCTGCGAGCGCCGAGCGCGCGATGAGCACGACCAACTTAGCGATGATCTCGCCGTCGGACTTGACTGCCTGGACCTGCGCCCCGGCCCCCGCATTTGCCTTCTCGGGGTCTGGCGCCCCCCCCGGCAGGCGGTGGTGCCGCGGGCCAATCGGGCGCTCTCAGGTCCGCCGCGCGCTCCCGCCGCTGCCGCGGAGACAGAACGGCGCCCGGAACAGCAGCCATACTTCTCGAGGGAGGTGGGCACGGAGGTGCTGGCATAGGTCATCCAAGTCGGCTGCTCGATACTCGCAGAGGGCGCGCTACAGGGAAATCGCGGGCTGGGCTGGGAGGAGCGCGGGGGTGCCCCTGTTGGGGCATTGGCCGTTTAGGGGGGCTCGTTAAAGGCGTTCGCAGGCCCCCCCACCCCCAGGCGCCCGAACGTCTGGCGGCGCGCGACGCGCGCTCTGTAGGGGCGAAGACGGAGCAGAGGTCTCGGACCAGGTGGGTTCCTCTAATATGGCTTAGAAGGTTGCGTCGAATGCTGAAGGTACGACCACATATTTTCCTCCTCCTCGAGCTGCCAGTCGCGCGTCCACCCCTTCTGCACCTCGGCGCGTGGAGGTGCAGAATCAGGCGATGTCTTCGCGTAAGTCGGCGGAAAAGAGCGCGGCGGGGCCCGAGCTCTGATCTCCGCGAAGTCTAACTGAGAGAGCTCCTTTGAGACAGCCATGTCGACTATGCGTCTAGGGTTCAGACTGATATAGTTACGTGCTATATGTCTCCCGTCCAAGTCCTCGGCGGCCCTCTGGAATGCCTGCTGGAGCCTGCGGAGCCACGGGAATGCGGCGCTTGGTGGGGCCCCCGACTGGATGGCATCCTCGACCCCCTGGAACTTCGAGAACACCTAAGAGAAGACAGAGCTCCCGGGAGCGCCTCTGGGGGCCCCTGGCCCAGCCCACGCGCGAGTGTAAGCGACAAAGAATTAGCTCCGCTTCTGAAGATACAGTCCCCCAACATGCTAAAATCTGCTCCGTCGCCATGAATCGGGCCTCGTCGTCGCGATGCGTCGCGGCACGGCCCTGCGTCGCTCGCCGACCGAACCTGGCAATCTGACCATCGAGTCGGCCGTTGTGGGCCGGGGCGCGCAGGCGAGCTTCCAGGCCGGACACGCCGTTTTCAGCAGAAAATGAACGAAATCCGCAGCCAATGGCACGGAAGTGCGAGGGGCCATGCACTGCCCAATGAATAACAACAAATCTGCGCTTGCTGCGCAGCGTGGGCCAACCACGACCACGGCCGACTGGTCTCCATTCAACATCGGGCAAAAACAGCGCGCTGTGTCCTTGAAATTGCCCGGCACAAGTTCTGGATGGGATCGCGCCCGACGATTGCAGATCGCGACCCCGATCCCGTGGAAATGCATATGCATTTCCTGTTTTGTCGGATTTCGAGCCCGCCCCGCCTCTGAGTTGCCGATCGAGATCGTCGCCGCAGTCTTCCAACGTGTCCAGTAAGTTTTCCGGGGGATCGGAAAAGGAATTAGATGGGCCTGGAAGACGTCGTCGGCGCGCGCGCACCCCCCCCCCACGTTGGCCCTCACCTCGCTCCACATCGCCGCTCATCGAGTAGATGTCGCATCTATCGGCTGGATCGCGAATTTCTATATCGAAAGCGGTCGTGCAAACGTGCCCCGGAAAAAAAAACTGGACGGCGAACGGGCCCCCCGCGAGCCCACCCTCTTCCATCTTCAGGGCGACCTCTCCCTTCTGGAGTCTCCAGAACAATCCTGCTGTGTTTGAAGCGCTGGGCGCGAAGGTCGACGTCCCCCCGCTTGGCGGGCACGCGAATCGTCTCCTCCAGATCCTCCCACCTCCCGCAAACGAATGCGTTGCTCGTCCTCACAGCTGAGGGCAAAACAGCGGCCTGCCTCGCGCGGGCGCCAACCAATAATCTAATTCACAAACATCGAACATGGCGCCCTCGCGCGTCTTGTCTGGGACGAAGCTGCGCTCGAAACGCTCGCGGGGAATAACATAGATTTGCCCGGGGCGCTCATCGCACGCGCTGTCCGGCGCCCCTTCGAGCCCGGGGTCGATTTCTCCTTCGGCCGGGCGCCCTGACTTCGACGCTGGGCGACCGGGGCTCTATAGGTCGATCGGATTTGCCGAAGGGCGGCTTCCATGAATCCCACCAGCCCTTTGGGCGTGAGTGGTTTAGCGAGCTCTCTCTGTCCTCAACCCCCCTTCTTCCCCTTCGGGGAGGGGTTTGCCCCTCCCCCTACCCCCTCCCCCTGGGCCTGGAGAGGGCGCCCCGCGAGTCGTTGGAGGGGTCTTTTTCGACTCCTGGGAGGGCCAAAAAACGACGACCCTCACGAGGATTCTGGCCCCGGGGGGGGGGGGGGGGAGTTTGGCGCCTCAGCTCGTCTTTGAAGCCACAAACATTGATTTTACTAGGGTTTTGGCCCCATTTTGGCCTTCTGAGGGGGCCGCGCTCATCTTCCCTCATAGCAAAATCATTGATTTTACGAAGGTTTTGGGGTCATTTTGTCCTTCTCAGGGGGCAGCGCTCATCTGCGCTTCTGAGGAGGTCGCAAGAGGCCCCAAGATGGCCCCAAGAGGCCCCCAGGAGGCTCCCAAGAGGCCTCCAAGAGGCCCCCAAGAGGCCCCCAAGAGGCCCCAAGAGGTCCCCAAGAGGCCTCCAAGAGGCCCCCAAGAGGCCCCAAGAGGCTCCAAGAGGCCCCCAAGAGGCCCCCAAGAGGCCCCCAAGAGGCCCCCAAGAGGCCCCAAGAGGCTCCAAGAGGCCCCCAAGAGGCCCCACGAGGAGCCCGAACGACTCACACCAGGACGAGGACCCCAACGACTCACACCACGAGGAGCCCGAACGACTCACACCACAAGGAAGGGCCCGAACGACTCACACCAGGACGAGGCGCCCGAACGACTCACACCACGAGGAGCCCGAACGACTCACACCACGACGCGGGCCCCGAACGACTCACACCACGAGGAGCCCGAACGAGTCACACCAGGAGGAGGGGCCCGAACGACTCACACCAGGATGAGGGGCCCGAACAACTCACACCACGAGAAGCCCGAACGACTCACACCAGGACGAAGAGCCCGAACGACTCACACCACGAAGAGCCCGAACGACTCACACCAGGAAGAAGGGCCCGAACGACTCACACCAGGACGAGAAACCCCAAACGACTCAAATCACGAGGAGCGCTCTCTCTCCCTCCCCCTCCGCCTCGTCCTTCTCCCGCTCCCCCCACAAGGAGGATGTGCAAGGAGGCGGGAGGAACAAGGCACAGGGGAGATATGCGGGGCCAAGCGGACACACGCCTGAAAAACACGACTGTCGGCATGCTTCGCAAGAGTTGCTGCTGTGAGATGGGCTGGTGGGGATACGCGAAGCGTAAAGAATTTAGAAGAGCCTTCCGTATCAGGTAGAGATACATCTAAGCCCAGCCCATATCCCGCGCCCTCGAGGTTCCGCCGGGGGTCAAGACGCAACTTCCAGAACTCCATTGCAGATGCAGTAGCTGCCGCAGCTCGTTGCTTCTGTGCCCGTCAAAATAACGTCGGATGCGCCAGACATGTCTCTGCGCCAGCTCGCAGTCGTCAGCGCTAATGTAGACAAGGTCAGGATCAAGATAATGTGCTCGTACTTGTTCGACGGTCTTGGGCGTTGCGCCCATGCCGCCTTCCGCGCCG